CCACCAGGACCGGCCCGTGAGGCCCGTTAAGATCGCGGGCCCGGTCCGGTCCGGTTCAAGACCGGCCTACAATGCAGCATTAATCTGCATATCGAAGTAAACTCTCTTAATTATTTGTCTGATTATTTGAATTTCTTCTACAATTACAAATTTAATTGTGATCATCTATGATTCTTCTCTTTGTAATTCAAACCAGAAAATTCAAAGTATCAGTAAAAAATTTTGATTCTTCGAATTTTCTATGGATCATAAAGTGAAGGATTGTCCTAATCCTAATCCTCTTTCTTATACACATACAAAAGGATCAGTTCAAAAGTGTGTCACTACTCATTATCAAGCTAATAGTAGTGCTAGACCTCGAAATATGCAAGCAGCGGGTTCGAGTGTAGCTAATCAGGCTGGTGGGTCAAGATCTGCTGCACGAGTTTATGCTATGAGACAGAAGAATGACCAGGATGGTCCGGACGTAGTTACTGGTAAATTTCACTTATTTGGCATATCTGTTGTTACATTATTTGATCCTGGATCTTCGCACTCTTATGTTTGCTCATCACTTGCATTTCTCGATATTGTTAAATCTGTGAGACTTGACTTTGATGTGCTGGTCACGAGTCCATTAGGTCATCAGGCTGTTGTTAACAGGATTTACCGAGATTGTCCATTCATGATTCAAAATCTGGTCTTCCCTGTCGACTTGCTTGAAATTCCCTTCCGAGACTATGATGTTATTGTTCGCATGGATTGGCTCCATAGGCACCATGCATTGGTTGATTGTAGGTTAAAACAAGTGACATTTAGAACTCCTGTATATTCACACATGGTAGTTCAAGGAGAAAGATCATTGTCATCTAATATTATTTCTGCGGTCTTGGCAAGGAAGATGATTTGTCAAGGTTGTGATACGTATCTTGCTCATATAGTCGATAAACGATTGGGGAGTCCAAGTCTTAAGGACATACCAACTGTGTGCGACTTTCCTGATGTATTTCCTGATGGTATTCCTGGGTTGCCTCCAGAAAGGGAGATTGAATTTCCTATAGATCTTGTCCCTGGAACTACTCCTATTTCTATTGCTCCCTATAGAATGGCTCCAGCTGAATTAAAAGAGTTGAAGGCTCAATTGCAAGAACTTCTTGAGAAAGGTTTTATCCGTCCCAGTATTTCACCTTGGGGAGCTCCTGTTTTATTTGTGAAAAAGAAAGATGGCACTCTTAGGCTTTGTATTGATTACCGACAGTTGAACAAGGTAACAATCAAGAACAAATACCCACTGCCTAGAATCGATGACTTGTTTGACCAACTGAAGGGTGCCAGCTTATTCTCAAAAATTGACTTGAGGTCTGGATATTATCAGTTGCGTGTGAGGGAGCAAGATGTTCCTAAAACTGCTTTTAGGACCAGGTATGGCCATTATGAATTTTTGGTAATGCCATTTGGTTTGACAACTGCTCCTGTTGGATTTATGGATCTAATGAACCGTGTATTCAAGCCTTATCTCGATCAATTTGTGGTGGTGTTTATTGATGACATTTTAGTCTATTCCAAGAATAGAGAAGATCATGATAAGCATATCCGAATTGTCATGCAAATTCTGAAAGAGAGACAACTCTACGCGAAGCTTTCCAAATGTGAATTCTGGCTGAATGAAGTGGCTTTTTAGGGCACATTGTATCATCTGAAGGTTTGAAGGTTGATCCTAGTAAGATTCAAGCTATTGTTGAGTGGAAACTCCCTAAAACCCCAAATGAGATAAGAAGTTTCTTGGGTTTAGCAGGATACTACAGAAGGTTTGTGAAGGGCTTCTCTATTATAGCTTCTCCCTTGACCAAACTTTTGGGGAAAGACGCCAAATTTGTATGGGATGACAAGTGTCAAGAGAGCTTTGAAAAGCTCAAATCCTTGTTGACACAAGCTCCAATACTTTCTTTGCCATCTGAAGGAAAAGATTATGTGGTATACAATGATGCATCTCATCATGGCTTGGGTTGTGTTTTGATGCAAGAAGGGAAAGTAATTGCTTATGCCTCTCGAAAGTTGAAATCACATGAGTTGAATTATCCCACTCACGATCTTGAACTTGCTGCCATTGTTTTTGCCTTAAAAATTTGGAGGCATTACTTATACGGAGAGAAGTGTCACATATTTACTGATCACAAGAGTTTGAAGTACTTGGGTACACAAAAAGAGTTAAACTTGAGACAACGTAGATGGCTTGAACTCATCAAAGATTATGATTGCACGATTGATTATCATTCTGGTAAAGCCAATGTGGTTGCAGATGCGTTGAGTCGCAATTCCCTTGCAAGTTTAACTCTAAGTCCTTTGCCTTTGCTTCTTGAATTAAGAGCCATGAATGTTTGCCTTTCATTTAATTCTAATGGTTCTATCATTGCTAATTTGCAAGTCAAGCCAGTCTTACTTGAGCAAGTTCAAGAAGCACAGAAGTTAGATGAGAAGCTTGTGAAACGGGTTGAAGAAGTCCAAAATGGAAGAGAATCAAATTTTTCATTAAGGAAAGATGGTACCTTATTTTATAAAAATAGGTTGTGTATTCCTAATGATGATGAATTGAGAAAGCAGATCTTGATTGAAGCACATAGTTCACCTTATACAATGCATCTTGGAGGTACTAAAATGTATTGGACCATTAAGGAGCACTATTGGTGGAGTGGTATGAAGAAAGACATTGCAGAGTTTATTTTTAAATGCTTGGTATGTCAACAAATAAAGGCTGAACATCAAGTCCCAGCTGGTCTCCTGCAACCTTTGTCAATACCTGAATGGAAATGGGAAAGGATAACGATGGACTTTGTTTCTGGACTTCCACGCACTCAAATAAATCATGATGTAATTTGGGTCATTGTAGATAGAGTAACTAAGAGTGCTCATTTCTTGGCAATCAGAATGGACTACTCACTTGAACGTTTAGCAGAATTGTACATTAATGAGATTGTGAAGCTGCATGGAATCCCTGTTTCTATTGTGTCTGATAGAGATCCGAGGTTTACATCTAGATTTTGGTCTAGCTTGCAAGAAGCTTTGGGTTCCAGGTTGAATTTTAGTACCGCTTTCCATCCACAAACGGACGGCCAGTCTGAAAGGGTAATACAAATCTTGGAGGATATGCTTTGAGCCTGCATTATTGAGTTTAAGGGTAGTTGGGACAAACACTTAGCCCTAATAGAATTTGTTTACAATAATAGCTACCAATCAAGTATAGGCATGCCTCCTTATGAAGCTTTATATGGGAGAAAATGTAGAACGCCTCTTTGTTGGAATGAGGTTGGTGAAAGAAAATTTGTGGGTCCTGAGACTGTGCAACAAACTGAAGATAAGGTAAAATTATCAAGGATCGTTTGAAAATTTCTTCAGACAGACAAAGTCCTATGTTGATCTTAAAAGGTGTGAAATTGAGCATCAGGTGGGCGATAAGGTATTTTTAAAGGTTTCTCCATGGAAGAAGATTATGAGATTTGGCCAAAAAGGTAAACTTAGTCCTCGATTCATTGGACCTTATGAAATACTTGAGAGAATTGGTCCGGTTGCATATAAGCTAGCTTTGCCACCTGAATTAGGTAAGATCCACAACGTCTTTCATGTTTCTATGCTTCGAAAATACCGCTCAGATCCATCTCATGTTCTTCCTATTGAGTCTATTGAGTTTAATCCTGATTTGACATATGAAGAAGAACCAATCCAAATCTTAGCGCGTGAGATAAAAGAGCTTAGAAATAAGAGAATCCCATTAGTGAAGGTTCTTTGGAGAAATCATTCAGGCGAAGAAGCTACCTGGGAGCGAGAAGAGGATATGCGAGTTCAATATCCACATTTGTTTCGGGACTAGTACAAGGTAAATTTCGAGACGAAATTTTTTTTAGGGGGAGAGAGTTGTAACACCCCAAAATTTTTTATAATATTTGCATTCTTGATTGGGCATTTTTATAACGAGGAAATATTTTACTTTGCACTTCCTAAATGTGAAATGGTCAATATATGAAAATTTCTTACTTTAGGTTGTGTTAATATTGGCAATGAAGTTTCATGATGTTGTTATATGTAACACTTAATATTATTTTGACTAGTTGTTATTAAATATAATATATAATTAAGTTTTGATTTCCAACCTTTTGTATTTATCTAAGAATATTTAGTCTTGAAGAGAGATGGATTCTTTGTCTTGAAGAGTAGGAACAAAATGGTTACCCAACTACTAAATATTCTTAGATAAATACAAAAGGTTGGAAACCAAAACTTAATTATATATTATATTTAATAACAACTAGTCAAAATAATATTAAGTGTTACATATAGCAATATCATGAAACTTCATAGCCAATATTAACACAACCTAAAGTAATTTTTTTTTATATATTGACCATTTCACATTTAGGAAGTGCAAAGTAAAATATTTCCTCGTTATAAAAATGCCCAATCAAGAATGCAAATATTATAAAATATTTTGGGGTGTTACATATGTAGCATTTCCAGCATAATTTATATGAGTATGCAAAATTGGACGAATTTAGGATAAGAAATTCTGGATTATTCACGTCCAGTATTAAATTATTGGACATTATGGTTTAAAAATATATACTTCCAGTATAATATACATGAAACAAAATAATAAATTACTTAATTCAAGTAAATTGTTCTAGATACCAAGTTTCCACTATTTTCGACTTCTTCATTATAATATACTGGCTTGTATGACTTCATAAGTAGCATTTCCAGCATAATTTATAGGGAGTAAACAAAATTGCACGAATATAGTATAAAAATTCTGGATTATTCACGTCCAGTATTAATTACTGGACATTATGGTTTAAAAATATATACCTCCAGTGTAATATACAGGAAACAATATACTAAATTATTAATTCCAGTAAATTATTTTAGATACCAAATTTCCACTATTTTCAACTTGTCCATTATAATATACTGGCTTATATGCCTTCATAAGTAGTATTTCCAGCATATTTTATAGGGAGTAACAAAAATTAGCCGAATTTAGGAAAAACAATTTGAATTATTACAGTCCAGTATTAAATACTGGAGATTATGGTTTAACAATATATACCTCCAGTGTAATATACAGGAAACAAATATATTAAATTATTTAATTCGAGTAAATTGTTCTAGATACTAAGTTTTCACTATTTTTCATTTCTCCTTTATAATATATTGGCTTATATCCCTTCATAAGTAGCATTTCCAGCATATTTTATAGAGAGTAACCAAAATTAGTCAAATTCAGCTTAAAAAATTCTAGAATTTCAAGTCGAGTATTAAATACTGGACATTATGGTTTAAAAATATATACCTCCAGTGTAATATACGGGAAATAAAATATTAAATTATTTAATTCCAGTAAATTTTACTAGATACCAAGTTTTCACTATTTTCAACTTCTCCTTTATAATATGCTGGCTTATATGCCTTCATAAGCAGCATTTCCAGCATAATTTATAGTGAGTAAGCAAAATTGGAATGAAACAAAACTCAACTACATTATAATATTCTTCCAGTATGTTATACTGAAAGATAAACATTCACATGACAGACTTCCAGTATAATATAGTAGACAAAAAACATAATCAAAATTTGACAAGAACTGGAGAAATCTAAAATGTAGATGAATCAAGAAATAAGAATACAACATTACAACATAAAACTTATAACATAGTGACAAAATTACCAGAAATAAGACAAACTAATGAACAGAGAAAAAATCGTAAAAGTTAAAATACAACAAAATATTTAAACCCTAACGGTACGGAAATCAAAATTAAACCTAAAGAACCATTAATAACAACAAAAATTCAAACACATTATCGTAAAAAATAAAACTCACCCTAATTTTGAAGAAAATTGGACGAAAGCCACACAAGATTCGAAGAAAAATGCTCTCTCAGGAAAGCAAAATCCGTACAATTGCTGTAAAAACAAAGAGAAAGACGATAAAAAGTAACTAAACAGTATGTTAGAAAGGTCAAGGGCAATTATGTTATTTTCCAATATATTTTAAGTTAAAATGGCTAGAAATCGATTATATTTGGATCGGTGGCTATTTTTCGATAGCCACGAGTAAAACTGGCTACGCCATACAATTTTAACATCTTTACTAGCCCACTAAAGGATAATTGTAAATAAAGTGAAAGAGTGAGCTTCTCCAAAATCCAATCCATATGGGACAACTCACTTTTGATATACCAACATTACACTATCGTAGGGGTGTCAATGGATATTTGAAAACCGACTAAACCGACCGAACTGTGCCGCACCGAATCGATTTTTAGGTTTCTTTTAAAGAAATCGTAGGTTTTTATATAAATCTATAACCGTACAGATAATTAGGATAGGTTTTTTATTTTATAAAAATAAACCGAAAAATATCGAACCATACCGAATAAATTTTACATGTAGAAAATATATTTATATAGTAAGTTTAAAACTAATAAAGCATTAAATTTTTCATTGGGCCTTGGAATTATGAAAATTGTTCAAGCCTACAAGAAATTAAACTCAAAATACTAATTCCTAAAACCTATTATGCTACATATACTTAAACTAAGTTATTTCAAATATCTTTATTAGCAAGATACAAAGTATTTTAGCGATTATGAGTAGCAAACTACAATGTATTGAATATGTTTCCTTTCATATAATTTAGATTTATCTTTTTGAATATTTAATATACAACTTGGTTAATACCTTTCCGCTCGTGTAATTTATATTTTCTTTGCTTTTACTTGATTTCTTGTACGTTGTTGTCGAATAGTTGATGGATCTATGCTCTAGCCATCTTTCATTTTTTTTAATTCATCACCCTTTAAACAGTAAAAATCTCTAGAGAGTTTTGCTAAGTCCTATAAAAGAACGTATGTTATTGCATTCTACTTCTACTGATGAATTTTATATGACATTTTAAAAAATACCGAAAATTAATTGAACCGTACCGATAACAAAGTGAAACCGATATGATTGGAACAGTTTTGAAAAGTCTAATTTTGGTTATACATAATAGAATAACCGAAAAATTGATCTGGTACAAATTTTATAAAATAACTGGTCGAACCGAACCATTGACACCCCTACACTATCGTGTGTCACATTCAATTCCCTTGCATTTGTTGTCAAAGTGGCATTTCTAAGTTCTAACTCCGGATCCACAAACAATAAATTTAGTTACTATCATAGGGGTTTTATTGTTATATTCATTCTGAGGTTGTTTTACAATTACAAAAAAATTCTACCGACATTTTCAACGGTCTCAGTCTTGTATGTTTAATGAAGTACCCAGAAATAGGGGTTAAGACTTATAAGATTTTGCAAGACAGAGTTTTATGGAGCAAAGATTGGCAGTAAACCACAGAATGGTCAAAAATCAATGCCTTGACCATTTTTCTCTTTATACACGGTGTTTTTTTTTGGACCTTAGGCCATTTTATTGGACGGAAGGTCCCCTTTTTCGTATGAGTTTAGTCTTACGCTATTAGGTCATTTCAAAAATAATTACATGTGCTATTTACTGTAATTAGGTCATATTTCATATCTCTTATACTGCTGTTATTGTATTATGCATTTTTATGGTACTAATATATCGGCTCCTGTTGCTTTTTGAGCCGAGGGTCTCCTGGAAATAGCCTCTCTATCCTTCGGGGTAGGGGTAAGGTCTGCGTACATATTACCCTCCCCAGACCCCACTTGTGGGATTATACTGGGTCGTTGTTGTTGTGTTGTTCACTGTAATTATATTTTCGAAAGGTAATTATTCATAGAAGTACAGAATATTTAGTAACCTAAAAGATAAGACAAATAATATTCTAGAGCATTTTAAATAATACTGGCATTGTAAATTTTCATGGCAATGTCAGTAAATACAAATTAAATCCTTTTAGGATATGTTGCTACTACTACTTTTTTTGCCTTTTGTGGAAAAGACATATTATTGCCCCTACACTCTAAAATAGAAATACCTTTCCAGTTATGATTGGCTACTTACATCAAATTCAATCCCTATTCTTCCAAAAAAATCTCATGTATTTGAACTTTCAAAAATATCACATCCCCAATTCCTTATTTAAGGACATACACCCCCCCCCCCCC